GGAATAATCATAGACATCTCCTCTTCCGAAGACGAGGACATAAACAACAACAACCTGTGGTGATGTGAAGTATAAAAAAACTTATGCTTGCTGAGAGTGAAGATAATTAGTTTAGTCTATCAGAGATCTAGAACTTTCGATGCCTGTAATTACCATAATTAGATCTCTGCAGGTGCAAGCTTCCCTTCTCTTTTTACTCTTATCGATTTCCCCCCCCCCTCCTTTTTTATAGCGTAGCTAGGCCTTATCCTGTCATCCCCCTGCCTGATTACCCTAATTATACCTAAGCCAACGTAGGCCTTCCACCCCCCTATGTCCCTTTCCTTAATTGATGTTCCCCCTTTTACAAACCTTTTTGTTCCTACCAACACAACCCTCCCCTCCCTTTTTTTTGGTTGCGCAAATACCCTTTTTTCCCCCTTTTCAAAAAGTATAAAAGGCCCCTTCCCTCCCTTCAGGGAGTAGTGCGATACCTTTCCCAGGGGACCTTCTTTTTGCTGCTCTAGGTATTATTTTGCGTAACCCTTAACTTGAGTTAGATAATTTCCCCCTTTTTAATTGAGCCTCACTNGAAGATTTCGATAGTTTCCAAACAGATACTTCAAAGGATGGAGCCTCTGCACTTGCTCCTATCAGAACAGATTATTCAAAAGATGAAGCCAATGAAGAGCTCCCAGCTATAAGAGCAGAACAAAAGGACGAAGTAATGAAACAGAAAAATGATGGACATGAGGTGTATGAAGAATTTATGGTGGAAAAGCATCATGTTGAGAAAGAAAAAGAAAACCAAGTATCTATGGAACTGTTGGAATATGACCACAAGATAATGCCAGAGGAGGAAGATCAAGAAGTGATGCTTAACATTGATATTGAACCCCTAAAGATCAATACCAAACCAGAAAAGATCAATACTGAAGCCGTAAAGATCAACTCTGAATCTGAAAAGCTGATCAATGCTAGAGCAGGAGAAATCAACACTAAAGCTATCAAGATCAATTCTGTAACAGTAAATATCAATACTGGAGCAGAAAAGATCAATACCGAAGCAGTCAAGATCAATCCTGGAGCAGAAAAGATTAGTACTGAACCAGTAAAGAATAATGCTAAAGCTGAACAGATCAATACTGAAGCTGTAGGTACCAATTCCGAAGCAGGAAAGATCAATTTGGGAGTAGAAAAGATCAATACTGAACTGGTAAAGATCAATACTGAAGAAGCAGATATCAATACCGAAGCAGTCAAGTTCAATACTGAAGCCGCAGATACCAATACCGAAGCAGTCAAGATCAATACTGAAGCAGCAGATATCAATACCGAAGCAGTCAAAATTAATACTGAACCAGTAAAAATCCACTAGAAAACTGTTCTCTCTCCGGGGTTGGTGGAACGAGTGGATTTGAGTTGGCACCAACCTGAGAGGAAACATTGGACAGGTTCAATGTGGTTGCAATATCTTGGGGAAATCTGCTTACCTTGGACTTTTTCAATGAGGCTTTTTTGGTATTTTAAAATTCTCCAGAGAATTCTTCGGTTTCTCTGAATCGACAGATCCGAATTTTTTCTCACTGCTTGTCGGGTTCTTAAGAGCTTCGGTGGACAAGAGCGTACTAGAAACAGGAGCAGAATCAGGGTCAGCTCTAGGTGTTGATCTAATCTCCTTTTTGGAGCAATCCAGAACCTCATCAGTTGTCGAAAGCAATGCTCCGGATATAACGGTTTCAACTTTGTCAGGAGAAATAAGTCCTGGATTTGAGTTGGACTCTTTGTTCTTTTCCGAACCTTCTGAAGGTTTAGGAGCTTTAGTTGATTCCCTGCTGAAAACTGGATCCGGAGCTAAACCAGAATTATTTGTCGTTGGATGTTTTGTAGGAGCTGGAAAATTGAGAGCGGTAGAAGGAATATAAAAAGTAGTGAGAGGCGGACGGAATAGATCAGACATACATGCCCTCTCCGAAGCATACTCTATGCCTTCTCTGAGAAAATAGTCCAGGATTGATTTTTACTGGTTCAGTATTAATTTTGACTGCTTCGGTATTGATATCTGCGGCTTCAGTATTGATCATGACTGCTTCGGTATTGATATCTGCGGCTTCAGTATTGAACTTGACTGCTTCGGTATTGATATCTGCGGCTTTAGTATTGATCTTGACTGCTTCGGTATTGATATCTGCGGCTTCAGTATTGATCTTGACTGCTTCAGTATTGATATCTGCGGCTTCAGTATTGATCTTGACTGCTTCGGTATTGATATCTGCGGCTTCAGTATTGATCTTGACTGCTTCGGTATTGGTATCTGCGGCTTCAGTATTGAACTTGACTGCTTCGGTATTGATATCTGCGGCTTAAGTATTGATCTTTACCAGTTCAGTATTGATCTTTTCTACTCCCAAATTGTTCTTTCCTGCTTCGGAATTGATACCTACAGCTTCAGTATTGATCTGTTCAGCTTTAGGATTATTCTTTACTGGTTCAGTACTAATCTTTTCTGCTCCAGGATTGATCTTGACTGCTTCGGTATTGATCTTTTCTGCTCCAGTATTGATATTTACTGTTACAGTATTGATCTTGATAGCTTTAGTGTTGATTTCTCCTGCTCTATGTAAAAAATTCTATTTTTACAAAATCTTGATTGAAAAACCAAAAACGAAAATCTTTATTTTTTTGGACCAAATGGCAGCCCAAAGATTCATTTACCTTAAACGGAGGTTTTCTGAAAAAAAATGTTTTTGTAAGGAGTACAGTGTGTACTGTAACATGTTAAAAATGTTTGTAATAATTTGTTTTTTTTTTATTGGAAAATTGTAAAATATTTTGTAGTACAATGTACCTGCAGTCGTTGAACGCCATCCTTATTTGATAATTGTAATTTTTTTTAGAAAAATGTAAAATGAAAATTTGCTGAACAAAGACGACATTCTCCGAGTTTGTACTCTTCAACACTCACAGTACACATTTGTTATCATCGTACCATCATACGTAGGAAAATTTTCAGTCTTGGACTTTACACCCCAGCCTTTCATCGTACGACATGAATCTTGCTTTTGAGCATGAACCAGGTTAGTGTCCAGGGGGATATATAAATAAATCGACGAAATTCAGTTTTGGGTTTTCTTAAAAAAATAACATTTTCTAAAAATCTTGATCAGTTTTACGTCAAAGTTATTATTATTATTTTGTTTATTCTTGTTGTAAAATAAGTTTTTTTTAGTTCTTCCCTTTGCTCTGTTTTCGTCTCAATGTAAATCTGTAAATTTTTCTATAGTTTGTCACTAACTCTGATACTGTTGTAGACTAGTCTTTTCTATAATTGCAAGGGGTACCAGTAAAGGATTAGACTTTTAGGCAGTGCTTAGGAGCCGGATCCGTTGGATCCGCAGGATTTTGGCTTCCTGGATCCGGATCCTAAAAAATATGCGGATCTACGGATCCTGATCCAAGGGGTGAAATATATCAACTAATAAACTGAAAAAAACTTTTTTACTCCTAAAACCCAAATCTGAACTTTTGAATAAAGGGAGATTATAAAAATTTCCTCATTTCTGAATGGTTTTAGGATAAAAATAAGCGAAAAGAATAAAACAAAAAAATTTGAGAATTTTTTTTTTTTTAAATCAGTAAATCTTAAAGAAATGACCTGGATCCGGATCCATTTTTTTTCAGTGCGGATCCAGGATCTGCATCAAAATTAAATGGATCCTAAGCACTGCTTTTAGGACGACACAAAACTGTATTTAAAATTTTAAAAAATCAAAATTGTCGTTTTTCCTCGAACGATAATTAATTTACACAATTGTAAGAAAAAATAATGAAGTAATTCTGTCCATGAAGTATAATTCTTTTAATGGTAACTGAAACTTTCACCGAATCCCATTCTTGTCCAAATCTAGTTATTAATGGTGTTAGGTACCTTCTCAAAGGCATTTTTCCGAGGGCGACTTCACAATTGACAATTTTCCAAGTGGCAACTTCCCAAATGTGCAATTTCCCAAGCGGCAACTTCCCCAAGTTTAGGTTAGACCCTCTAAGGCGCCGCAGGCTGCACTGGGGGGGGGCCGAGCGCTGCGGCTAGGATGGGCTAGGGCCTAGGGGCAGAGCAGGTTGGCTAGGACAGACTTGGGAAGTTGCCGCTTGGGAAATTGCACATTTGGGAAGTTGCCACTTGGCAAAAAACCCTTTGGGAAAGTACTTAACATCTTATTAATGAGGTAAAAATAGTACAAACATTTGTCCTTGTCTGCACCTAGTATCTACCTATCTATCTGGAGATATTTGCTCAGATCTGTAATTTTCTATTCGATTTTAAGTTAGATCTTAGAACCTTTCATATTTCATAGCAAAATTCATGTTTATAAATATCAAAGGTTTTAGAAATACCTATCTATATATTAGGAACTGCTATAGATTGCTTGTCTATACTTATCTATATCAGGAACTACTATAGAGTGCTTGTCTATACCTAACTATATATCAGGAACTGCTAAAGAGTGCTTGTCTATACCTATCTATATATCAGGAACTGCTATAGAGTGCTTGTCTATACCTATCGTGCTTCACAAGGAATCTGACGGAGAAGATAGGGAAGGAAACCAGGCAGGAGAGAGATTATAGTCAATTATTAATTTTTGAACGAATAAATCTTTCAGAATTTTTTTTTTATCTGATGTACGAATAGAAATAGTATATGTTCAAATCCCACAATCGTGTTCTTAATCTTCATTGATTCTGCGCATAAACGGTTTCTCCAATAACTTTTTTTGGATTGTCGTAATAAGCTTAAACTCTGCCTAGAGTAGATTCTTAAATGTGGATTCAAGATTGGTGGAGGAATTGATCAGGATTATAGGAAAAGTCCACAGGTAGTCTATATCATATTACAACCAATCAATCAAATCATACATTTTTCTGTTCTTATAATTAATTAGAACAGTTATTAACAAAACAGTATTACATTAAATATATGTTAAACTACTGCAGTAGGAGAACTTTGATAGCTTAGAGCTGTTTTCTCAAAGCCCTCTTGTGATTCTTAAGATTTAAATAATTTAGTTTTGAAGAGGGTTTGAGATGGCAGTTAAAAAAAAAATTAATTAAACCCCCCCCCCCCCCCCCATTAATATATAAATATTTGCATAAAGCGCAAGGGTTGGTACCACTGAATTTGAGAAATGGGAAAATTTATTAATATTTGGATGAAAGTTGAATTCCAGTTTATCTTGAAATTTTCGAAAATCTATTTAAAAATAATACCACGAAAATTACAATTTTTAACCGTAACTTCTCAGGGGTATTCTGATAATGGTGTTTATGTTACTGAAATATCTCCAGACAGCGCTGCGGTTAGAGCAGGTTAGATATTCATTGCTGGGTAGGTTGTTAAAGATGAGTAGATGGTTGATTGGGATTTATTGATTGCAATTCTGGACTGACTAAATGTAGGTAATGGATAGGTTTTATTTTTCTTCAATTTTTAAAAGTTTCAAATTTCAATATTAATGTTTAAAGAAAAAATGCATTTTTAAATAACTTTTTAATCTACTCTTCCATTCTTCCTATTTATATGTTCACTATAGCTAGCCAAACAATTAAACCAAATTGGCTGAAATTTTTTGAGAGAACCCATGGATACCCGGGGATGACATGGGCTAGAAAAATTATGGTCTTTTTTACAATTCTTCGGGAAACCCCGTAGAATTCAAGACCAAGCTTGGGTTAATCTAAATCAAAACAATAATTTAAAAACTTGAGAAGAGTTAATTCTTGTTTAGATAATCCTACTTAAATACCAGGTTTGCGAGTGCATGATAAAATCCTGCAGTTGAACGGATACGACTTCACGATGGTAACTCACAAGAAGGCAGTTGACTACATTAAGAAGCATCATGTGCTCAACATGCTGGTAGCTAGAAAGGGGGTCACACAAACCTAAATTTAAAAGAACTAGTATTTTAAAACTGTGATGATTTTCCGTTGAATGTTAATGTGTAAATTTGATTGTAATGAAGTTCTAAAATTTACATTTTCATATTTTCTAAGATTATAAAGTATCTTTTACATAAAAAAATACTTTTAGACGCAACGTTCTTTATTCCAGAGGGCAGCCTACTCCACTTTTGCATTTTTTTCGTTTTTTAGCCAAACAAATATTTTGAGTTATTTTTTTGATTTTTATATATTTTTAAAACATAGCAAAAATTTCAATCTTGCATTTATATATTCTTGTAATATGAGGAATTTAAAAGTTGAGAAAATATCAAGTTTTCGATAAAAACCTTTTAATAAACAGTTCTTTCAGCAACATTGGAACTGCTGCTGTTTGGATAATTGTATTATACAATGTACGTTAACTGTACAGTGTACGCTGTACTGCAAACAATTCTTGTATTGCATCTTAAAAATATAGCTCACAAAGTATTTTGTTTTTAACAATTTTCGAAAATAATACTGTTCTAGAAAGTTAAGTTTTTTCAGTTAAATTTGTAATTTTTTGAAGTACAATTGCACACATTTTTTAGATCTGTACTTTAAGAATCCTGACATGCTGTTGCCTTGTATCAGATTAGATATTTAATTATATTTCAGGTTTAAAAATGGTTGTGAAAGTCTGGTGTGACGGTTGCTACGACATGGTTCATTTCGGCCACGCTAACTCATTACGTCAGGCTAGTTCTCCCACAGATTCAAAAAAGTTTTCTGATAAGCTAATTGTCATCAATTCTAGTATCAAAATGTTGATAATACAAGTTTCAATATTGTTAAATGGCTCTCCAATGTCCATTGTCCATTCTAATGAAGTTGTTATTATCAGAAGAGAACATTTTCCTTCAATTTGAAAATCTAATATAAAATAAAAAAAAATCTAATATAAAAACATAGATTTTTGAAAAAATTTGAAAGAAGAAATAAAATAACATTTTTTTGCCTATGATACCCCCAGGATACTCCTGGATTCCCTCCAGAAATATTAGCCCATTCGCTCTAGCCGTTTGGCCGGCTATAGGAAACATATACACGAATATTTTGTTTTATTATATAGAAGAAGATAACATGTTTTATAGCTTTGCAAACAACAGAAATATTTGAAGGAAAGATACCTAACATCGTAGGTAATTTCACTAATTCTGAAATTGTTCAATTTTCTGGGGGGGGGGGGTCGTTACAAACATGAAACTGGTGGTACTAGGCGAAGGCTATGGGAGACTATCTGGTGGTCGGGGTTCACACAGACGAGGAGATTACTCTGCACAAGGTAAATAAATCTTGTTTTTTATCACTCTAGTATTTTTTATGAAATTACCCCCCCCCCTCTCTTTTCCATTCAAATATCCTCTTTTCCGTTAAAAACTTTCTTCTTTCATAATCATCTCCTTTTAGGAATGGTTTGTCATTAGGGATTATACAGTTTAATCCAGTACTTCGGAGGCATCAAGAATTTATAAAATTTTCAATGGGTTTGTGCTATTATTATACCAAAATCTTAGTAATTGTAAAAATAAATAAACTGCCATGAAACATGCAGAAACAGTTTTTAAGAGCTTCTTTTAATTATTATATTAAAAAAACTAAATATCGATAGCATTCCTTTAGAAAACGACATTTTATAAATTCTTTCGATTCCTACGAAGTTCTGGTTTACTAGCAGTTGATTATTCATTTATTTTTTTACGGACTACAAATCATAGAGAAATCTTTAAACCTAATAAAGATGTTGGATTTTTTAAAAATGTTTTTTTTTTTCTATTTTGTTGTAGGGCCCCCCTGTGTTCAATGAGCAGGAGAGGTACAGGATGGTTCGGGCGATCAAGTGGGTGGATGAGGTGGTAGAGGGAGCTCCTTACGTTACAACCCTAGAAACTCTTGAAAAGTAAGTTCATTCTTCTGGTTTATTTGGTTTGGTCGTAGATAGGACTGGAGGGGCGCAACTGGGATATTCTTAGGCCCGCAACATCTTTTTATAATGAAATCTTAACAATTTGATTCTCTCTAAAAAATCACGTTTTTAATATTTTGCGTTGTTTTTGTCTTAAAAATTTCCTATTTTTGGTCTTGAAGTAAATAGATTTACTCTCTAGATATGATTGTGAGTTCTGTGTGCATGGTGACGATATAACAATGACTGCGGATGGAACAGACACGTATCATATTGTCAAATCTGCGAACAAGTACAAAGAATGCCAAAGAACCCAGGGCGTGTCAACTACCAACCTGGTCGGACGGATGCTCATGCTCTCTAAGGACCATCTCCAGCGCGGGGCGCAAGAGTACAACGTTGACCGACGCAGCTCATCAGACATGAGTTCTGGTGCCTGTGGCCGGTCACCCTGGACCGGGCTTTCTCAGTTCCTCCCAACAACACAGAAGATACTGCAGTTCTCTAACAAGGATGGTCCGAAGAAGACGGACAAAATCGTCTACGTGGCCGGGGCCTTTGATCTCTTTCATATTGGACATTTGGATTTTCTAGAGAAAGCCAAGGAGCTGGGAACCTATCTTATCGTGGGACTTCATACAGATCCTGTAGTTAATAGGTATTTTCAAAAATGAAAGAGATATTAATGATAAAAAATGTTTAGCTAGGACTTCTTATGATTATTAGAACCCTATTTCAGGGTTTACAAAGAATGTGAGGACTCGAGGTATTATTTGAGCTTAGACTCAAGCTTGTTATCTTTAATTTGATGTCGGTTTTGATTTTTTTGTTCTAGGTATAAGGGTTTCAACTACCCTATCATGAATATCCACGAACGTACTCTATCTGTCCTTGCGTACAGATGCGTAGACGAGGTTGTAATCGGAGCTCCCTACGCCGTCTCCAAGGAGCTAATGGAACACTTTAACGTGTCCGTCGTGTGTCACGGTCAAACCTCAGTACTCCCCGACATAGGGGGAGAGGATCCTTACTCAGAACCTAAGCGCCAAGGAAAGTATCAGACGGTTGACTCCGGGAACGATCTGACCACGGAGAAACTTGTGGAAAGGATTTTAACGCGCAGGTAGTAGTCATTTAATAACATTCTCATTTAACAACATTCGATACAAATGAGTGTGGGAAATTACTATCTGGTATCTTATATCTCTGGGGTTCATCTGGAGACTTTGTGGCAGGTTAAAGACTTCACTTTGTGGCCGATTTTAGTACTAAGATTCTACTTATGAATTTTTTTTGGGCGGAGATACCATTTGTGGCAGATTAAGTGTGTCTAATTGTTGTCAAGGGATATTTTTTAGGGTGTAAAGTGTGTAGAATGTTCAGGTTCACTCAGATTAATCCTATATGAACCTCTAGCTTGTACTATCTACTGAGTATTTTATACAAAAACAGTTATTAATTGGATTTATGCAATTAACCAAAGGCTTGCGGATTGTGCAGTTCCGTGCAGTAATATTGTCAAATTATAAAGTTCTAATACTGCATTGTCTGCAGAAATGTGTATAAAAAACTTTTTCTTTACAGGCTGGATTATGAAGAAAGAAATAGGAAGAAAGAGGAAAAAGAAATGGCGGCATACGCTGCTTTTATGAAACAGAAAGATGCAGAGGTTCAACCGAACTAAAATCGAACATCCTGTCTAAAATTCATTTTGTGTAACGTTTTTTCCATCTTATGAGAATGTCTGTGTTGTGAGATTAACCAGAGGCATTTATTTGTCTAGAAGTGTTTTTAAAATTTAAACTATTGTAACATGATTTTAATTGTTAATTTATTTTTATTATTTAATTTTGACGAAGAGTTTGAACCACTCATCAGGATGCAAGTGGATTTTAACCCTTTTTTATAAAATCTAAACTTATTAGTGTTCAACATTTGATTATGCTGATATTCAAAACCTTGATGTCGGATTCGGCACGTGGTTAAAACTGTGATTCACTAGTCTTAATGCTCGTTCTGTTATATAGTTTATATATAGTAATTTAACCATCACACCCCTTCGTTTTCTTGTGATTTTAACTTTATCAATCATTAGATATTTTAAATAACAACATGAAATTTAACTTTTTGACAGTTTTATAATGTTTTGCTTGTTTTGACTTGTTTATATGATTAAAATAAAATCAATGATTTATTTTGTATTTTAAATAATATTTCAGAATGCTGAAATGTTTCCGCGACATGCTGCTGCTCTACCTATACTGTTGTAGGCAAGAATTAAGAAAAATATTTTTATTATAAAACCCATGAATTAACAAGGGCGTACACAGAAATAAATCTAGGGGGGGTGGCAAATATGCGCGAATTGAACATTTTTCTATTGTTGTAGATTCAAAACATTTGGCTTCTTGGATACTTTAAAGGTTCACATACAGTCCAATTACCAAACTAATTTTTTTAATGTTCTCCACTCTTCAGTACAGCTCTGAGTTTTAGGGAGAGGGGGGCACTGCCTCCCCCCCTTTGTACGTCCTTGTAAACAAACTAAGAATGTACTGGAAACACATAATATTACAAGGGGCAATGGTAATTATTGGAAACACATAGTATTATAACTGGTAATGGAAAGAAAACCAAGAAAATGGATAATTGGATAAAGGGAAAGTAAAAAACTAAAGAAATAAATAAAAAGATGCAATTGAATTTTAAAGGAATTATAATGGAATGGAGTAGAAAATTGACGTATGAACGAGAGAATACAAATAATTGAAAAGGAATTGAAAAACTAACGACTGGAAAAAAATAGGAAATACTAATCTATTCAACCCCCACGGAAACGGTGAAAGAGATTTTACTGGTTATGAAATAATATATGAGTAAGCTTTTAGTGCATTTTAAAATAATCCCAATACAATAATTAACGGATTTTCTTGTATTCATTGGTCGATTTCTAACATTTTGTAAAACTTTAAAAAAAATTTGAATCAACTTCAATAAATTTGACCCGAGCTGAAAACTTTAGAATGGGATATCCTTAATCCTGATCGGATAATTAATCTGGAGATTAAAAATGAGAGGAGAACAAGTAATATTTAATCTCGAGATTTAAAAAAAGAGTGGATTAAGCCTTAATCCCAATATCCACCATTCTAAAGTTTTCAGCTCCGATCAGTTCAGCTGTTGGGACGTTTATTGGATCCAAGTAAACGGACTAGATAGAAAGTTGGGACGAAAATCCGCGAAACATTTTTAATTCAAGTTTATTCATGTACAGTGATAAGCAAAAAAAACTTGGAAATAGGAAGACGACTTTTAAATTCTAGTTATGACTTTAAATAGTTCAATGAGCAATTGTGCAGTGTAAATAGACCCATTTCACTTCATTAGTGAGTTTATAAGCGTCTAGTAAAACTTTGCTTTGTAACAACATCATATACACTTAAAAGTAATGCTATTAAGTCGTCTTCCTATTTCTGGTTATTACTGTATTGTAACTAGAAATATTTAATATTTATATACATGTGTTCAGGATCATTGAGAAGAAAATGACACAGATATCTGCAAACTTTCCGCTTCTTTTCTTAAAGGAACGGTTTATTGACAACGCTTTATTATCTCTTTCTTGTCTTTGTTTTCATAACGCGCCTATTTAAGATATAAACATAATACATAAAGATATAATTTTTGTCGGTAATCAACAGATTAAATAATATTTTTGTTTGAATGATATTTCAATGGTTTCAATAAGTTAAACAAGAAGGTTTACCGAGAATGGTTGTCGGAGAAGGAAGGACTGATTCTAAGGACTGGAAGGAGAAGGTTGTTTAAAGGATTGATTTCTCCGGATACAACCGTCCTGCTCAACCCTCTATCCGTCCCTGAAATATCTAAAGGAACATTGTGAAAAAATTAGCTTATTAAGAGGATATTTTTTTTATTTCACCTTTATAAGTATTCTGGGGTAAATAATTTTGAGAATTTAAATTTTTAAGAAAGTCAGACTCTAATAAAACGCATAAATAACTTCCAGTATATATATTTCTTATAACTTATTACTAGAGGGTTCAGAACTAGAGTCAATATCGATATCGCACGTGTAGACAGTAGAGATGATATCAGTACTATGCCCCGTATCCGTTCTATCTCATTCTGTTGAATCTTGTGGAACTAGTTTAACGCGGCCAGGCATCGTCTTCCACAAAAGATTATTTATGATTTGGGGAAAAACGATAGTTAGGAACGTTTTTTCATCCTTTTTGATACATTTTATTAAAAAATAAATATTTCCTCATCTCCGAAAAAATATTTTCCCTCAATACAGAGCGAATAAATTCCATAAACCAAAGATTTTTTTTCGAAGAAGGAGGATGATTTTTAAAGAAAATATAGACCCCCTTTCAGTTTAAAAATTTTCCAAAATTATTAATCAATGCATATGAAAGGACAAAAACGTCGAAAGGACGGATCATTCTGGATTTCTCTGGGTTGTATCGAGAGCTCAATCGGAATAAGGATCCTAGCTGGAGTCTCGGAAGATGTTCCTTTCAAGGTATGTTTCCCAGAAATCAAATAATATCCAATAGAAGTTTTCGAAAAACGAAACATTTAAAAGAATATAATTTCAGGATATATTGTGTACTCATCTAGGCCTGGAAAACATTACAAACCTTTTTCATGGATTAAATAAGAACCTTGATCTAGCCAAGTTAAAGTTCTACACGGAGAAGGCGGGGGGAACGGTGAATACAGCCGAATCCTTGACAATTTCTATCTTTGAGACTTCATGCGTCAGAACACTGGACAGCGAACTTTTAGTTCCATTAATTAGTGAATTTCTTCATGAGCAATTTGTGTTTCATGACTCAGTCATAAGACTTGATACAGAGAATATTAAGATTAAAGAAATTTTAAAAATAGACAAACATATTAGTATCTATCTTCGGGTTCAGTTTCAAAACCCAGGAACCCAGGGAATTTTAGTATGCAAGGATGCTACTAGAGTAACACAATCTTACATTAAAACAAGAACTCTACCTAGAAACCTACTTTTACACCCTGGGCACTCCTTGCAGATGTTCAATAAGTTGACCGGGATTATCAACAGAAACTTGAGTAAAGACCTGGAAAGACGGTTACGTTGTAGTATTCTTCTCTGCGGAGAGGAAGGATCGGGTAAACTGGAATTTTGTCAATATCTGGCGGAGAACACGGGACTAGGATACACGGAGAACTGTGGGAGAGATTTGGTCGGAGATACTCCGGCAATAACGGAGGGGAATATTCTGAAAGCTGTGACTGAAGTAAACAACTGTATGCCAACAATTTGGGTGATCAGGTATTATCAAGGTTGTATGATAAGGTTGCTTACTCTCGATGCGCTCCAATTTACTGGAAATGTCGTCTCCCTTGCATAGATTGATAAAATCCGTATAAAACTTCACTCTCGCCTCTATAATCAGTGACCTCACATCTATATGCTTAGGAAACGACATTTCCCGTACATCGAGAGTAAGCAACCTTGGGTTTTATACATACCAATTCCATCAAAAATAATCAATACTTAACATATATTCTGAAACGATGATCGATTTTGTCTCTAAAGGACTATTGGCATAATTTCAAGAGGCATTTCATTTAAATGTTATATTTCCCAGTTATTGAACGGTTCCAATAAGCCACCTTTATCAAAGCAAAAATGAAAAAGATATCCTTTATTAAGTGCAATTTCACTAATTTTTGTCTTGCGGATTTATGCAGTTGAGACAAGAAAGGAAAAACGACGATATCTTCGCAATTTATACTCAAACTAGGGTTATAAGAGAACGGTTGTGAATATGGAATCTTTGAATAGAGGGTAACTTGAAATTACTTCTACAATCCCTGAACAATAGATTTAGTTAGGTTGGAATGGGGGGAAATTAAGATTACGCTGACGTTTCCTTTAAGGATCTAGAACATTCTTTGTAATTATTAACCTATTTTTTTAGGAATGTTAATGATTTGGTTTCAACCCGTGAGGGAGAACTGGACGAACGTATCCTTCTCTCTTTAGAAACTAGACTTTCCTCCCTCTCTCCCTCCACTGTACTCGTTGGAACTTGTCTCTCCAAGGAGAAAGTATTCCCTAAACTATCCAGATTATTTCTCCATGTCCAGGATATCCGAGCTCCTGACGCTGCGGATAGAACAACTGTTTTGGAAAGGATCTGCGAGGATAGAGACCTTGATCTTGAACATGGAAACCTGATTGAATTCGTGTCAGGCAAGAAAATTTTATTTTTAAAAATGCAAACTAAAAAATGTCGTTAATAAAGAATTTCAAGACAAATTCTTCTAAATTTGATATTCGATTGATTATATGTAATCTAGTTGTAAGTGCTGGTTTCAATATCGGAGATTTAAACTCTTTAATTGACGCGACAGTAATGTCATGCTGTATGGATGGTAGAGAACGGATAAACAAGGATGACTTTATCAATGGTTTGGAAACTTTAAAGAAATCTAGATCCAAGTCCTTAGGACTAGCCGAGGTTCCCTCTGTGAAGTGGGAGGATGTTGGAGGCTTGCATGAAGTTAAACGAGAACTTCTCCAGGTACTTGGTAAACCACACCGTATATGAATACTTTTCTACTTGAGGTTTTTTAGGCCGTTTCTAGCTGTGGGGCTGGTGGTTGGAGAAGGTCTGGAATACTGATGCACGGACCACCTGGAGTAGGAAAAACCCTGCTTGCCAAAGCTGTTGCTACAGAGTGCTCCATGAGCTTTATTAGCGTGAAGGGACCGGAACTTCTAAACATGTATGTGGGACAATCAGAGGAAAATGTCCGGGATATTTTTAAACGCGCTCACGAGGCCGAACCGTGCATCGTCTTCTTTGACGAGTTGGATTCTTTAGCTCCGGCCAGAGGTCAGTCCGGGGATAGCGGAGGAGTCATGGATCGTGTGGTTTCAGCTCTTTTATCGGAGCTAGATGGATTGGAACGGATGAAAGTTGTTGTAATCGGAGCTACAAACCGTCCGGATCTTCTGGACTCGGCTCTTCTCCGTCCTGGTAGGTTTGACAAGTCCTTGTTTATCGGAACAACAAGCGATCCCTCGGAGCTTCTTGATATTCTTACAGCTCTCACTCGCAAGATGAAACTGGCTCCGGACTGTGATCTCTTACGGGTAGTTTCCAACCTGTCTCCAGGTATGTCTGGAGCTGATCTCTCCGGTCTGGTTTCCCAAGCTGCACTGAAAGCAGTTGAACGGATAATTCAATCAGAGCTTACAGGGCAAACTTTGCTCTCCGATGACGTGACCTTGGAGGATTTTCTTGAAGCTGGACTATCTCTGGAACCTTCTGTGATAAATCAAAAATAGATATTGTTATAAACTTGTTTTATAGAAAATATTTACATACATTAATTGTTTTGTTAAAGCTTCAGATTCAAGGATGAAGATGAAAGATGATACTGATCTTACCCTAGAGCTAGAACACATGATATCCCAGAGCGAATCTATATTTGGTCTCAAGGTGCTGGACACATTGGAGAACGTACTTAGGACGAGAATAGTTCCTCTCCGATTAAACCTGTCAGGACGGGAGAACTTGATTACTCTGGTCTGTAACGAGACCCCCTATGATATTGTATTCCACGATATCAAGGATTTCACCAAGATACGATCTCTCTCCCCACCCCGTAACCTAACCCTACCAGCTGCAGTAGCATTCGTTAAAAGGAGTCTGCTGAGCATGCAAGCAGAACTTCTCAGGAATTCAAGTTTTGTATGATAATTCCTCAGCGGGAGGATAAACTTTTTATATTCAATTGTTTAAAAATTGCACCCCATCCTTCCTTATAAGTCTCTCTTTGTTCAAACTTTAAAAAAGTTGAAGTTATTTTGCGGATTTCCGGAACAAATTTTTGTAATCTGAAGATTTTTCTTAATTCTCAATTAATTACATTATACATTACAAGGTTTGATTTATGGGATTTGAGTCTTCATTTCTTGTCATCACGATATTTCTAAGATCCTTGGGTGTCTAAAACTTATATCTTGGTACAGGGATAACCAGGAGTGTCTGTCCATCATACGGGACCTGGAGAATCTTAAAGCCAAAGGAGAAATCAAAAGGTTTGAGCTTAGCCTGGAGAATCATGAAATATCCGTCCTTGTTGAGGTTTCTATCCTAACCTTGAAATTTCTCCAACCCCGTCTCGCCACAGAGGGAAAGAGTTGCAGGAATGACAGTTTCCTTCTTAAACTTGTGTTTGATCCGTTTGATGGTTCAACCGTCCTCCGCAAGTTTAAGGTTCAGCTCTCTAGGGAGGTTGAACCTCATATTTCTGAGGCCAGTAAAATGTGGAAGAATATTACATACGAGGATATATCAGGGTAAGCGCCTAATCTTTAATCTTAACCACAGGAATTATCTCATTTATTGAGTGCCTTGTCCGATTCTCAACAAAACCCTTTAAATTTTCTGAAATCCTTATTTTTCTACCTTGATATTGATTATTTTTAATTTTGGATTCTCTATATTGACTTGAGAGTTTAAACTGCAGTATGGATAAAGGAAATTTTACAAATTTTACACTTAGATATTTGCCTGATTGTTACTCTGATTACTCTGTTAAAGGTTTACCGTTTTGTAAATCCGGCATGCCACTCTTTCTATTATATTGTCACTTAGAATTACTTCACTTGAAGGTCTAAGTTCTGTCTGTCATCATTTTTTTTATTTTTTAAGGGTTACTCTTAAACCCGCTGATGAGGGACATAAAATAAAAACTATTTTATCCCTAGTCACCACATTATCTTCCCGCAGCTCTAACCGGCTCTTAATTTAATCCTGATTTTAAGGTTTATTGTTGAGATGAAGAAACGTGTGGATGGTGTGTTACGTGAAGTTATGAATTCCTGGGACGATCGAGTTCAACTCTTCAGACGAATATTCGCCGTTTACCAACCTCTGGTAATATTCACATTATTCACTTAGTTTCGTCCTATATCGAAAATTAAGCGATTAATTATTGCGATTTTTTTATCTTTATCATGTCATTTGAACCGCCATTACACAACAAAAAANCTAGTCTTTCTAGCCACTATTCCAGTTTAACAGTACAATATGTATCAATTATAGGGAATTGTTCTGGGGATAAACTCTGAGATGACTAATATGGATGTAAGTCTGGGAAAAGGAAAACTTCTGAAGATAACTGTCAAGAAAACCTTCCCAGCCACCTACCCCACCCTCGCCGTATTCAAGAGGGCGGATGCCGATGACAAAATCACGATGACAACCATTAAAAGGATGGAGGTGTTCCAGGGAGAGAAGAATATTTCCAATATGGCGGATAATATCATTACTTATATTCATTCAGAAAATGTAATGGAATAAAGATCATAAATGTATTCGTTGTTGTTAAATCCGATCTGATCTTTTTATTTTCTTGGGTTGAAACCAAATGTTCCTTAGCTTTAAAGCTTTAATTTTTTTTATAAATCTTGCCATTGTTAAAGTACCTGTTTTCACCAGTCTTTCCAAATTTATAAATGGTTATTTGTAATTTATTCAGATTAGAATGAAATCCTCGGGGACAGAAGAGGATACTTCATCACTGGAGGCCTTGGACGAGGAGGAAGGTTTGAATTCAGAGGCTCAAGATGAGGATCTTGATCCAAAGGTTTTGCTACGGATACAAAAGATCTCGGATATTCTAAACCAAACGAACCTGAATCTTAACGTGTTTGAGAAAATGCTTCCGGCGTACAGGTCGGAGAGATCAGGTTTGACTCTGTCCTCCGATACTTCAGAACTCTCGGAGATCAAAATACAAAACCAAAACCTTGCTTCCCGAGTTATTCTTCTTGAGAGTAAAAATGAAGAACTAGAAAAGTCCTTGCTCCAGTCTAATTCTAAGGTTGAAGAGTTATGTTTAGAAAATACTAGATTGAATCTCACCAACGAGGATCTGAAATTAGAGATTTCAGATCTCAGAACAAACCTTGAAAGAGCAGAGGGCAAGAATATCAGTGATTCCATTAAAAAGTCTGAATCAGTTCCAGGTACTGAGCTAATCTCCCAGATATCTTCGGGTCAAGGATGCATAAGGAGTAGAGAAGAATCGAAAGATTTGGTTTCTGCTTTCAACCAAATAAAATTTTTAAAACAATCTCGTGATAGTTTAAAGAGAAAAACTAAACAGTTGCTCCGTCATTACCGGAGAAAACGGGAGATTCTTCAACATAGGAAACTTGTCCAGATCTTACTTTTTATTCATTTTTTATTCTTTTATTAGGATTTGCATAACTCTTATACCGTTCCTCTTATTAGCTTGAAATTTTCATCAACATTCATTGTAACGGAATAGGACGCACTATTTGTGCACCAATGATACACCATCGATGCGTCAATGAGAACGCACCCAACCAAGTGGGACAGAAATATATACATTGCAGCTTCATCCATTCTCTATTCTATATAAAAAGCTAAATATATGTATATAATATATATATATATGGATCAAACACATGGTTACCTTGGGGGTAACATAGGCTTAATAAATTTGTATTTTTTTATTCAATTTTTTTTTATTCCACGGAAAACGCCGGGCACTTGAGCTAGCATATTATAATTCTATAGTCTTACATCTAGTTTTGTATTTATTTTTATCTGGGCTTGTTTAATCTAGAGAGAACCAGTTAATCTATCAAAAGTCTGGTTTAGTTAAACTTCAAAATCTCCATCAAAACTTCCAAAGTTCTCATATAGGTAATTTTAATCTAATAATTCCAACAATTTACATAAATAAATGTGATAATAAAGTATGTAAAAATAATGTGAAAAAAATCTTCCATGTTTTTCTTGTTCAGAAAATCGGTCATTATTAAAATGTTTGAAACTAAGACTAAAATATCTCGTTGATTTGTTTCTAAAATAAAAACAATTTTATTATTATTTTTTGAGTTTAGTTGTTCTTGATTATCTTGGTTCCGAGCTGGGCATAATATCCCGCCTGGTTGGTTTACTCCTGGAGACAGAGGAAAACGAACCTGTTCTTGAACCCTGCTCCAGTTCCAATTTGTCCTCCTGGTATTCTCAGATAGAGACCCTGATACACTGGACTAAACAAACCTTGGTCTCAATAGCTCTTAGGTAACTTCATATACAGTGTGTTTCACTAAACATGGAAATAGATAACGACATTTTAATCTATACACTTTACATTAAATATGTCGATTCTTAAATGAGTTAAAGATTACATCAAGATTATTTCATCAAGTTTCCATTATTACATTTTTATCCTCATAAGATTATTATTATGTCATATTTGTGAGGTTCCATGAGTAAATACCCAAGAAGTAATATTTTTAAAAATTCGTGTGAAATACAACTAAATCAAGTTGGAACAATAGACATCATGAAGGGTTGCAAATAAGTTTTTATATTTCAATTATGCTCTTATCCTGACTATTACTTTTTTATTTTTTAATGTTACAATGGTAAAATTTTATAATACAAAATACAGACTTATCTTTAAATAAAATTTTCCTGGCGAGCAGCTCAAATTATGAATTCTCTTATTGCAGCACTGAAACCATAAGCAATACAATTATATTATTTTATTTTTTAAATTCTTATGCAAACTGTGACAGACTTCAAGCTGTGAACTATATAATAAACAGAATCAGTTTTGATTAGAAATTTGTCAATATCGTTCTTGATCCCCTTTTTAACCTAATCCCTTTGTTTAACCATTCTTGCATCGGTCAAAATTTGGAATTGATACAATGAAAGATCTCAAATCTTAATATAAGATTAGTGAATTGACATCAGCAAAATATTTTAGTATTTACAAATCTTTACACCGGATTTTAAGCCCAAAAACAAAAGTTTCATTAGATAGGGATTTTTTTAAAGATTGATCTAAAAAAATTGATAGACAGTAAAATGATCGTTTTTTTCAGATTTTCTCAGAGCAGCGAATCTCGCGTATCTTTAATAAATCGGAAGTTGTTAAGTCTGACAAGAAAAAGAGGAGGGAAGAGTCAGGATCCAGGAAGTAAACCTCTTCAATCCGTATCCGACTCCATCTCACAGTGCACCCTGAGTCAAGAGACAACTTTGCAATCCCTGGTTCAGGATCTAGATACAGGGTTGGGCGGATAATAAACCTCCTGATACGATGTGTCATAGATTTCTCCATCACATTTTACAGTCTACATATCTTACATTGATAGATCAGAATTTGATGTCAACAATTCAAATGTGTTTTTATACCCTTCCAAAAAAGCAAGAATTAAGCCAAAAAACTTTAACGTTCTGATTACAGTGATTACAATGGGATAGTAAGACGACATTATAGCATACTTCAGTGTATTTGATATTGTTACAAAGCAAATAGTTTTACCAGACACTTATCAATTCACTAATTTAGTGAAATGAGTCTGTTTACACTGCACACTTACTGTGTCTCATGCTCATTGGACTATTTGAAATTATGACCTGATTCTAAAAGTAGTCATCTTTCCTATTCCAGAGTTTTCTTATTATCACTGTTCAAAAAACAAGATCCTTTTTGTAAATCTTTAACATTAATTGAATAAAATTTTGCATTTTAAATTTTTTTTAATAAGATTCTCAATCATGAGATATATATATTATTTTCATGATGCAAATGCTACAGTTCAGAAATTAAATTCTTATTTACGAAGCAAAAACAATAAATGTAATTGAAAGAACTTAGAAGAATCAAATTGCTTAAAATTTTAGAATTCTGTTTTTATCAATAGGAGAATAAACACTTCACCATCAATTTTAACAATTTATCGGAGAATTATTACGGCTTAGAACATGGAATAACTTTTTTAGAAAGTGCCTTTTCATACAGCCCATATCATAATAGATTATCTTCATTCTTTAAAGTCAAAATACGCACATAATACTCGAAAAATCTAGCATTTTCTGCAAAAGAAATTTTCTTTAGCCTCATCAAGGATGTAATGCAAGGAAAGTTATTTCAGAAGTGTACACATCTCTTGTACTGCAGTGTACTGTCTCTCGGCGGTAATGTAAACACAAGACGGATCTCTAAGCCTGACATGGGATCCATCTTTCACATAAAAGAAAATCATTGAAATATTCTTTTCTTAGGAAACAGTTATGTGAATTATCAAAATTATCAAAATTTAATGCTTTTAACCTCCTCGGATACTAAACGAACACTGAGGCATCTATTCTTGTTTACAAATTCCGACCAAAGAGAACTGGTTTCAATGTGTACGCAGAGTATACACGACCGCAATTAACTTTCCTTGCATTACACCCTTGAGCGGAGCCTCATTAAATTTTCTAAATGATTCTTTTTAAATTTTCTGATTTGTCCCCCAAATCTAATTTAGACACATTGACGATTGACGGGACACCCTGTATTATACAGGGTGTCCCACGAAACATGAAAGTTGGTGAATAGTTTAGAATGTCTTTTTCCATTATTTGCTCAGTTGTTTGATACCAAAGAGCAATAAATATATTATATGGGAGTCATGTTATATTAAAGTTGATTTCAAAGTAAAATATAATCAAGCAAAAGATTTGTTTAACTAAAAATAACTTAATTAAATGTCATGTTTCGTGGGACACCCTGTCCTAAAGCAGCGAATTACTCCGATAACGGTAATGTTATATATGAGATACATGGGTTTACGGAGTTTACGCAACATCCCCCATACTAAACTTCTGACCTACTGCAATATCGGATCTACTCCAGCTGTTTATTTTTGTATTATTTGAGGAATTGGTTAGGTTAAGACAATTTCTGGGCCGAGTGTGTGGCTAGGGAGGCTAGGGGGCCGAGCGCTGCGGCCACAAGTCCTTATAGCAGCTGTAAGACTACGTGTAGTATTATGGATTTGGCGTAGGTCAGAAGTGGAGTATAGTGGTTTTGCGTAGGTCAAAAATACACCATCGATATATTTCATAATTTTAGACAACTTGTTCCTGTCCTAATACGTTAAATATTGTTTATGGTGTCTAGAATGTTGAGATTGTAAGTCAGTTTACCGACTACCCATCTAGAATATTCTAACGCGGCATTTCTTCAATGGAAACCGCGAGGCTTCTTTTTATTCAACAAACTTTTTATCAAATTTTAGACAACTTGAAATTTGAAAGGAGTCCATATTGTTAAAAATCATTACATTTTGTTAGATAGTTTTAACCACGGAATTTTTAGCATTATCATGATTGTAAATATTTCATCGAAACTTTGGTTTCAGACAAGATATATTTTTATATAAATAAAAGTCAATACTTTTAAAGATGTAAAACTGTCGTACATGTCACCACCGAAGAACTAGGTAAGCAGCAAAGTTTGTAGTTTTTAAATATTCTAACTTAAATGTTTGATATATAGAAGTTGAGTTTGAGTCAAATGGCGGAATTGGGACGGATTTATCTCCAAGATTGAGGTTGAGAAGAGGTTTAAGGAGATGTAGGAGCTGGGCTTGATATCATGAGCTTGCGATGGATCCTTCTTTTGATGATAATTGCACTCTCATGTCAGGCGTTACATCCAAGGTATAAAAATATATTTACTTATTTAACGGCATCAATATGATTATGTTGATGTTAGTAAAGAGATGTGGGTAATTTCCTAGAGAACGATTTTTGGTACTAACCTTTTTTGTGATTCATTTATTAATCGTTAATAATTCCAGAAATTTCAAAAATCGATCTTTAGGACGAACCCAAAATTGAAAATTTTTATATTTTTGCTTCAAAATAAGTCTCGGTACATTTTATAAGAATGGTTTCTCTGTATAATGCCAATTTCATAAGAAGGATTTTGGATCTTACAATCATTTTTTATGTTTCTACATTCTGTCCCTTATTTTTTATTTTCAATCATTATCCAAAATCATACAGTTATTTTTGTCTTCCATTGAAAGACACGTTAAGTTACTTTACGTCCCTTAGGACAAAAAGTATGATAGCGCCAGGCTCTGCAAAGTTTTCGTGAAAAAAAATCGCGCATTTTCAACTCAAAAGACAGTAAAATTGTGTACAACCACTTTTTCGGGAAATAAAATTTTACTTTATCACGGGTTTCCTCGATCTATCTTGTCTACATAAAATTAGTCTTGGCAAGTTAAATTCCCTTAACTTCCCTGGTAAGTAGTTGTAAATAATTAGTACTACATTTCAGGCCGTATATTTTGTTCGCCAACAGGAAGGATATCCGTTTAATGGAAGTGAAAGACAACCAGAGAAAAGTTGCAACCAATATCATCGTAAAGAATTTAGAAGACGCCGCAGCTCTAGACTACTTCCTGGAGTTAAACCAGGTGTGCTGGTCAGAGATCAACAGAGAGGTGATCAGATGTGCGGAAATAGATCCTAGATCCCGGGGTAAGGTTGCGAAGAGAGATATTGTCTCAACAGGACTTATTAAACCTGAAGGTCTGGCCTGTGATTGGATTAACAACAAGATCTACTGGACTGACAGTGATACTAAGCGAATTGAGGTTGCCGGGTTATCAGGACTGGATAAGGATCGAACCGTCCTGGTATGGGATAACTTGGATCTACCCAGAGCTATTTCTGTCGATCCTATCTCCGGGTTCATGTTTTGGTCTGATTGGGGCGAATATCCAAAGATAGAAAAATGTGGTATGAACGGAGACCCTGAGACAAGAAAGATTCTAGTGGATAATGACCTGGTCTGGCCCAACGGGATCACCCTGGACTATGTAGAAAAGAGAGTGTACTGGGTAGAAGCACAACTCTCCTATATCGCCAGCGTAGATTGGGAGGGAAATAACAGAAAAACTGTTTATATCGGAGACAGGATCAACCTTCCTCAACCCTTTGCAATTAGTTTATTTTCCGATGTTCTGTATTGGACGGACTGGGATACAAACTCTCTTCATCTCTACAATCAGTCGGAGAACGTTGCTTCCAAGCTCAAAATAAAGGGAAACCTTTCTCCCATGGACGTCAGAGTATTTGAACCAACAAGACAACCGCCCGGCGATTCTCCATGTCGTGTCAATAACGGCGGTTGTTCTCATATTTGTTTGGCAGCTCCTTATAATCCAAGATTCTCTTGTAAATGTCCAACCGGACTAAAGATGATTGATTCTACAACATGTGCAGACTCCAGTAGTGAAATATTATTGCTGGCAGCTAGAGAATATATTATTAAAGTATCCTTGGATACTCCGGACTATACAGACATTCTTATTCCTTTAAAATCTGTGGTGAACTCTATAGCTATTGACTACGATCCTACCTCGAACCGAGTGTTCTGGACCGATCTTGCAGACGATCAAAAACAAGCTATCAGAAGCGCAAAACTTGACGGAACTAACGAGACGAACGTTGTTGTGAGCGACGTCAATCACCCAGACGGTGTGGCGGTTGACTGGGTGGCCGGGAACCTGTTCTGGACGGACAGTGGAACGGATAGAATTGAAATCTCCAGGTTGGATGGTTCCAGCAGAAGGGTTCTAATCTCCGAGGATCTAGATGAACCTAGAAGTATTGTACTAGACCCTATTAACGGTTGGATATTTTGGAGTGACTGGGGCAAACAGCCGAGGATTGAACGAGCCTGGATGGACGGCCGAAGTCGGGAGGTTGTTGTAAACACTGAGTTAGTTTGGCCAAACGGTATTGCTCTCGATATCGCTAGAAAGAAGTTGTATTGGTGTGATGCTAAGATGGATAGAATTGAGATGGCCAACATGGATGGAACTGAAAGATCTGTGATCATAGATAGAGATCTCCCTCATCCATTTGGGTTCACTCTCCTTGGGTCTAAAATCTACTGGACGGATTGGCAGGATCGGAATATCCAAAGTGCAAACAAGGTAAACGGGAAGGATCGGAGAATTCTTGTTTCACACCTAGATGATCTCATGGGATTAAAAGCTGTGTCAACTAAGCCTGATCACCAGATTTCAAATCCTTGTAGTTTAAAAAAGTGTTCCCATCTGTGTTTAATGACGCCGGAGGGAGCAATCTGCTCCTGTCCTAACGGATACGAGTTGACAGCTGACAATCGATCTTGTGTTGTTCCTGAAGCGTTCTTGTTGTATACAAGGCGAGATGATATTCGGAGAATCAGTGTTGAAACCCCGAACACTAATATTCTCATCCCTGTGAAGGGAGTAGAAGAGGCGAGTGCTTTAGATTATGATCTGGAGAACGGAATGATCTACTGGAGTGATATAAAATCCAAGACAATATCAAGAGCGTTCTTGAACGGCTCCAATCAGGAGATGATTGTAGAGTTCGGATTGGATTTCCCAGAAGGATTAGCTGTGGACTGGATCTCGGGTAACCTTTACTGGGCGGATGCCGGAGTAGGACGGATCGAGGTTGCAAGGTTGGACGGATCCAATCGGAGAGTTCTTCTCTGGGAGAATATAGACAATCCCAAGAATATTGTGGTTGATCCTGAACACGGAGTTATGTACTGGTCAACCTGGGGACAGATTCCTTTAATAGAGATATCTCTCCTGGATGGTTCGGAGAGAAGGAACCTGGTGGAAGGGGAGGGGAGACCGACAGGATTAACTATAGACACATCTAACCAGAGGTAATTTTTCTTTAATAATTGTTAAAAATTCTAAACAGAAATAATGAAACACTAAACGCCGGTTTCAGATCAATTCTAGTTTTTATAGAGCTATGAAGTAGTTTGACTCGGTTTCTATGCACGAATACTTTATGAATTAAAATAATCTTATTGATTTCATTGAAAAAAATGAGCATGAAAATGTCCAAGTTTTCTGGATTATCATAAGTCACTTAAAAGGGTAAATAAAAAATTATTCAACATTTTTTTTACAAAAAAATTCAACTTGTGAGACGAAAGTAAACTATAAAGTATATAAACTGAAAGATGGAGCCCTAAATGTATCCAGAAGAAATTCTGTTCTTTGGAATGTATAATCTATCCAAAAATATATATACGTTCCCCCCCCCCCTCAACAACAAAAATAAGAATGCGTTTTTCTGTCTTATTTGTTGTTTTGTTGTATTGTATTGTGAATCATATTCTTCATGCCGAGCTTGATTTGATTTCTCCATGTCTAGATTGTACTGGGCGGATCAGGTGTCGGAGCAACTCAAGGTTCTTGATCTTCTCTCTCCTTTAGGAAACTATCATGTTTGATAAATTAGGATTAGAATGAGGGTAGAATTTATATCAAGATATAGATTGTCATTCTTCATGTTTCACTCTTCACAGAGCTAAAAAAAAAATTATGGAATTGGTTAAAATTGGTTTAATAGGAGTATTTACCATCTGATTTATTTTTTTATTAGGAATTAAAAGCTTGTGCTTATTGTTTGCAAAATTATTTTATCAACATTCTTAAATCTTGGCAAATCGACAGATAGGAATTGTATAAAAATATTTTTAATTTCTAGAATTATATTTATCTTGACATGAATGTTGTAATAGGTAAAATATCCGTTCTTGTATCTGAGGGTCAACCCTATGCTCTGACCGCCTTCAAGAACCATCTTTACTGGACGGATTGGAAACTCCAGACTATATCCAAATTAGACCTGGAGAACCCCGAAACCACCACGATCGTCCACACCGGTGTAGATTACGTCATGGATATCCTAGCCTACCATCTCACTTCTTCTATCCCGGAATCCGGTTGTAAGATGAAGAACTGCTCCGGGTTGTGTATAGGGAAGGTTGTGGAGAAGAAGCTGGACGGGTTCTGCTCCTGTCCGTCCCACTACACCCTGGCAGGAGACGGAGTTTCATGTATTGGACCTCAATCCTTCCTGCTCTTCAGTCAACGAAACAAAATCTCCCGACTTCTTATTGATCCCAAGCATCCTGAGGAAGTTCCTGATATCGTTCTGCCGATCAAACGTGCACGATCAATTCAATCAATTGATTACAATCCACTGGATGAGATGATTTACTGGATTGATCAAGGAAAAAGAGAACAGCCCTCTAGACAGATAATCAGAAGATCCAGGGATACCGGAGAAACAGATCGTCTGGGATTGTTCGATAAAGCTGATAAATTCGTCCCGTATGATATAGTGATTGATCCTTATACTCAGCTCTTATATTGGACTTGTGAGCATACAAACTCCATTAACGTGACAAGGTTGGTTGGATCTGATTTAACACCACTTGGACCTTTATTTGTTGGCGGGGGAAGCAGTTACCCTCGACTCCTAGCAATCAATCCTCGTAAACAGCTTCTGTTCGTATCCATGTCCGGGGAATCTGCTGGGGAAGCCAGGATTGATATGTTCTCCCTGATTTCAGGAGAACAAACTCAATTGGTTAATTCGTCCTTGATTGATGTGACCGCCCTTGCTGTTGATCTTGATACTAATCAAGTTTTCTGGGCGGACAGAGGTTCCAAGAAACTTGAGAGGATCAGTGTACAGGATATGCAGAGAAGAGATCTAATTACAGAAGGGATTGTGGAGCCCGTGGGTCTAGCTGTTCAGGGAAGCTGGTTGTATTGGGCAGATAGGGATCAGGCTAGTATTGTCCGGGTTGATAAAATTACGGGCACTTCGCGTCAAACCATTCTTAGCAGAGTAGCTCGACTCTCTGCCCTTGTAGCAGTATCTCACATTCCCGGAGAGATACTGAAATCCCATCCCTGTCATGATCATGATGAACATGGCTGTTCTCATTTCTGTTTCCTAGGATCAGAGAACAAGGTTAAATGCTCCTGTCCTGTTGGTTTAGCTCTACTAGATGATCAGAAAACCTGCGGATCTCCCTCCTGTAAACCCAACGAGTTCACATGCAGTGGTAAAGGTCCATCTGGAGAAGGAACGATGTGTATCCCTATGACCTGGAGATGTGACGGTCAACCTGAGTGCGGAGATAGATCTGATGAGTTGAACTGTCCTGAGTGCGGACCTACTCAATTTAGATGTCAGCGAGGACAATGTATCTCCAGTCTGAAAGTCTGTGATGGAACTATTGACTGTGAGGACAGCTCTGATGAGAAGATGTGTTGTGGTGAGGAGGAGTTCCAATGTGCTGTAACCAAGAAGTGTATCCGGAGAAATAAAGTTTGTGACGGAGAAGCGGATTGTGGAGACTCCAGTGATGAACTGCCCCCTGAGTGTGAACCCAACGGTCTACCTCATGTTGGAACAGGAAGTGAGGCAGCAACCGCTGCAACTTCTACCTATCTGATAGCAATCTTTGCCGCACTCATTTCTATGTTTGTTATAAGTTTGCTAGTTTACTACTGTAAGAGAAGAGCTGGAGCTAATACCAGTGCTGAGGATCAGGACGCAACATGTCCTCTGGCCTCTAGACCTAGTGGAGATATTGCTGGAACTCTGCCGATGGACCGAGGACGAGGGTTGGGTTCGGAACCATGTTTAAACTCCGGAGCAAGTGTTATGTCTCCCGTTGATGGAAGTAGCAATGGTTTGCTTTATGATAGGAGTCATGTAACGGGAGCTAGTAGTACTGCAGGTACTAGTAGTAGTGGCAACTATCCAGGACATGGTCCTCCCCCTTCACCCGCTACTAGTATAGGAACCCGGCTTTCTAAGGCAGGTTATCCCCGCCACAACGGTGGAAAACGTTCTAGCTCCGCCTTCAATGCTGGATTACCAACAGGATATAGGTTTTATAATAGCAGGGGCGGAGCTCCTCCGTGTACTCCCTGCAGTACGGATATTAATGATGAATCCGATAGTTTAGCTTACTCTGCGCTACCTCATAGACCTCATTTTACTTCAAGAGCAGGTTCAGTGGTTCATTCACGGACAGGTTACGACAGTGAAACATACTGCATTGATGAAATGCAATACAGTGTACAAGAACTTCCGTCCTTACAGGAGCGGGGTAGATATGCTCCTCCTCCCTCAACTCCTCTTTACTTGTCAGATTACGGAGACCCAGAGACATCTTGTCCTCCGTCACCGAACACGGAGAGATCATTCTTCCTAAACCCTTGTCTTCCGGGTCCTCCGCCCAGTCCTGTTCCTTCTCCAACACTCAATCAATCCTTAGAGGAAGATTTGTAGCACAATCCAACCCTCACTCACAAAGGAAAACACAAAAAGTAAATATTTCTCGATTGAAAAAATGCGCCAAAGGTGGTCCAGGACCAGTTTTATTTGGTGGATTTTCATGTTCTGTTAATTGTAAATCTGAGCTTCCATGCTAAATGTGATTTTGATAAAAATGTTTATTGCCATTCTTCTTGTGCCAATATCACGTCGAAAAGTATTTTAGACTAGATGCAATAGCAAAATTATCTATATAATATATAAATATATATTTTGTAAATATTTTAGGAATATTTCAAGATAAATAGAAACAGAAGAATTAACGAACCATTACACTTAATAATTTTGAGTTTTTCTTCATCCCTCGTCTTTCTTTCATTTAGAAAATTATCTTTTTTGATCATGATTGATCAGTCCTCGCATTTAATTAGCAAATATTACATTGATTAGGTCTATTTTTACTTGTATTTCATCACTATCATAAACCCCATAGATAATATGTTATTACTATGTTCAATTGAAACATGTGTACTTAAGTATGTTTTTATTTATTTCAAATCCTACATATCCCGTACAAGAAGTAAACTACCTTATAATCATTTCAATCCGATATATGTTCAAAAAAGTGCGTTAAATTGCACAAATCTAAGTATTCACTATTTATTGATTAATATTTCTAGATTTCTATTAAAGTATTCCGGACAATGTTACCTTTAGAATGGTTTTAAACCATCATTTATTAGAAAATTAATTGTTAAAATTATATTGTATTTAAACCGGAACTAGTGCAAGGCCAAATTATTTCTAAACTATGTTCTCAAATGTAGTGTTCGTTATTCTGAACTCTTTGTTCGTTGTTTAATTGTTTAAATCTGCTGCAGAATTGAAAAATGTTGCTGCCTCAGTGTGTGAGAGTTCTACCCCGGTTCCAATCGATCAGAAATATCAATAAAATTTACACAAATAGGTAAGTTTTAGCACTTTTTTATCTCAACGCTTTCTATCATCTTAATCTGTGAATGTCGTATCTAGTCGTTTTTCTTATTAACCTTTATTGACAAGGAGCGTTCACCCCTATTTTACTGAGATGATGGGTTGTCTTCTAATAAAAATAATCATAATTAAATGCATGATTACTAAATAATTCTAATTCCGGGGGGGGGNGGGTAAATGGGGTATACAATATAGATACATCCATGATTTTCTTGTATTCATTAGCATCGCCGTTAGGTTATCCACGCTTTAGCAGTAACTACAGTAAACTAATAATAAAAAAAATATTTTTTTTATTGCCTAAACTAATATGGAAAAGGAAGAATGAACTAATACATATCCTTGCGCGAAATAGAATATTAACGGGATCAATTCAATACTAACTGTTACAAATGTGATAGATCCTGGTTATCAACTAGCAGTTGCTTGGGTAACCAACCCATACCTCTTCCTTCAACTCAAGATAATAAAGTAAGAAGCGCAAATGTGAATTTTCGTGAATTTTTAAAAGTTAATGGAAGTCAATTTTTGTTGGCGTCTAATCTAAATATACACTTTGCTTGTCCGTTAGTTTGTTTCTATCCAATATACGTCAAAACGGCTGAACCGATCGGGCCCAAACTTTCTTAAAAATATACACCCCTTGTATTTTGGTAAAAATTTTCCTAAGAAATCTTTAAAAATATGATGCAGCATTAGTCCTAGTGTTAAAAATAAACCAGAGGAAAAAATACTTCCTAGTTCCTTGTTAGTCATATTGTTGTATTTGAAGGTGTTTCCTGAGAAGATAGTTCGTCTAGTTGATGATATCTCTCAACTAAACCTACTGGAGGTTGCAGATCTTAACTCCCTTCTCAAAACTAGATTAAATATATCAGATGCTCCGGTAATGATGGCAGGAGCTCCCGCAGCTGCTTCTGCTCCTAAAGAGGTAAGCTTCTTAAACATCTTTCTTAGAAAAAGGTTTTTCTCGTTTTTTTCCCAAATTTCCTCGTATTTCTCGAACCTTAACAGTTTCCTGCGTTGCCATAATGAAACCTAGAGTATAAACTATACATAGTTTAATCACGCCCTTAAAAAACAGTTTTGTCTCAGTACAGAAGTGTTTTCTCGCATAATTTGTTTTTAGGACTAATTAAAGGGTGTAAAGCTTGCTAATAGAAGTCTTCTGAAAATAGGGATGAAAAAAGTAAAATTAAAAAGAAAAAGATTTTTTTTTAACTTAAGATAAAGCATGCTCTTTCATTTTTTATTTTACGAACAATTTAATTTTAACATGTATATTATTTTATCCATTATCAAATAGTAGGAAAAACTTGTCAATCATTGATGTCCAATTTTCCCTTTTTTCCCAACTACTCTTGGAAAAGAATTCGGGGAGGCCGGGAAGAATTCTTTAAAATATTTACTGCCGCTAATTTTCAAATATTTGCAGGAGGAGGAAGAGGCAGCAGCTCCCCAGGCGGTTCAGACTTCATTCACCGTTAAACTTATGAAATTTGACCCAGCCAAGAAGGTTGCCACCATTAAAGCCGTCAAATCTTTAATCGACGGAATGAACCTGGTCCAGGCGAAGAAGTTTGTCGAGGAGGCGCCGGCGGTTCTCAAAGCGGATATCGCCAAGGATGAGGCGGAGAAAATCAAAGAGGTTCTTGATTCTGTTGGGGCGGAGACGTCTATAGAATAAATGTAATAGTATTGTATTTCAGACTTGAAAATGCCGAAGGATAAGAAGAGAACTGTTTCTACCTCCGACAGTGACTCCGGTCCTGACGACAGAGCTCCAGTTAAGAAGGTTAGTAGAAACATAAGATGACAAGGAGTCGTCATGATTGTTCAAGTCGGTATTTTTTATCGTTTACGGTGACTTTTTAAGAAACTTTACCTAAAACTTCTCCTGTCTCAATTTCCGTGTGTATCGAAACAATTAAAGAAAACGATAGCCTTGGATTTTTTTAATTTAAACTCATTATTTCTTTTCCTAATTGCCGATTATCTGATGTCATTTTATACTTAAATTCTTCCAGAACTTTGTTAAGTTTCTCTTTACTAAACTTGACAACTTGTATTTTAGAGTAAGGGAGCAGCAGCAAAGCCTTCCGGCAGCGGTCCTTCCGACAGCGGAGAACCATCCTGGCATCTTGGCAAGGATAAACATGTCAAGGTTAGCTCAGGGTAGAATGTAGAGAAGGGAAAATCAATATTCACTAATTATGTTTGGGTCAAGTTTTGAAGGAAAACTATAACTTTCGTGTTATGAAAAGGTCATCAGATTTTTTTTAACGTATTTGAATAGATCTGAAACTAGTTTTAATGTATAAACAACAGTTAGTATTCAGTGCTTGTTTTATTTATGATTCAAATACATAAATTAAAGGGGTCATTGAAATCTGGATATACATGATATTTATCATTTTCTTTGTCATAGTGAAATTATTCTATTTATTATTATATCATATCTGTGCGGTTCCATAGAAGTAAACCTATCGTGTAAGAATTCCCATTATTACACGGTTCAGGAGGAACAATTTTAATATTGTTCGCTTCCTTGCGTTTCAGAATGCTTATTCTTACACTGTAGGTGCAGAATTTTCATTCTTTAACGCTCAGACCGTGTAAGAATGGAAATTATTACACGGTCAGAGCGTGAAAGAATGTATATTCTTACACGCTCCAAGCATTAAAGAATGGAAATTNTTATGAGGATAAAAATGTAATAATGGAATTCTTAAACTCGATGAAATAATCTTGATGCATTCTTTAACTCAGGCCTGCGGCCTTCGTTAAAGAATACATCAAGATTATTTCATCTCGTTTAAGAATTTCCATTATTACATTTTTTTCCTCATAAGATTATCATATTATATATATATAAATTTGTCTGTTTGTTTGTATGTCTGATCACCACCAAGGAACCCTTGGACAGATTTACCTGAAATTATGATTGAGGAACTCGTTAATACCTGGGGAATGTCCTTAGCTTGGTTTAAAAATTCTAAATTAAGTGGGTTGAATATTTTAGAGAAAAATTAGTTTCCAGTCAAAGCTGGGTTACCAAGCTAGTATATAATAAAAAAGTTTCATGGAAGGGGAGAAAATCTTGCTAGTTGGACGTTTAGTTGTCGAAAATGAACATACTTGACTAATAACCCCTTGAACCTGGATTAACATTTAAATTTTTATCTCTTTCTGTTTTAACGAAATTGATTTAGGTTCGTGAGTTCAAGGGGAAAACGTATATTGATATCCGTGAGTACTATGTGGATAAGAACACAATGGAAACTAAACCAGGAAAGAAGGGAATATCTCTCACGTGTGAACAGTATCAGAAACTCAAGGTAAATGTAATCAACATTTATTATTTTTGTCTTTTTCTCAAATCTTTGAAAAATTATCCCAGAAATAAACTTGTATCAAAAAATATTTATCTGGACCATTTTATAAACCATCTTTTTATCTTTTTTAGTCTCCTATATAAATTCTAAATATTTCTTTTTCAAATTTTGAAAGATATTTTAACTTTTTTATTTATTAGTGTTTTCGAAATAATAATTAAATATTTTTAGTCTATAATCGATGAGATCGACCACGCTCTTCCCTGAGCCCCGAGCTTCATGCAGCTATCTCCACAGTTCTCCGTCTCAGTAGAAGAATCATGTTTTAGACTAGCCCCCCCCCCTTCTCCTATATGTTATTGTTCTTACCAGTATTCCATGTACCCCTGATATTTCATATTGTGTACCGAGCTGTGAATGAATTATCTGTGTATTTCAGAGAAGAATGCTGGGTCAGGGTTTAGCCTTGGATCAGAGTTCTACTAGAGCTGGAAAGAAAAGACAGAAACCAGTCAGACAACCCGCCAAGGTCTCTAGTCTAGCTCATGATATTGAGACTAAGGCTAGGACGGAGGATGTTATGAATATGGATACCAGGGGCAAGGAGTTCTCAGCTCTTATGCTCTCAGAACCTGTACTCAAGGGGCTTCGGTAAGAGATAAGGGAAATGATGGGACAGGATTAGAAAGCGTGGGACAGGATTAGAAAGGGTGGGACAGGATTAGAAAGGGTGGGACAGAATTAGAAAGCGTGGGACAGGATTAGAATGGGTGGGACAGGATTTGAAAGGGTAGGACAGGATCAGGGGTGTATATAATTCCTTATTTTTTATTCTTTC